TATCTTTTAATTCTACTTTTCCCATGAACTTTTTGAAGTACCCTCTTATATTGTTTTCATATATAAATGAAAAAATACTCCTTATGATAAGGCCACATCAATATCTGGTTATTACAATTCAGACTGGCAGACAACCAGGTTCTCATCCTGTGTCTTACCACTTACACCTCTACCTGTGAGATCTCAATGAAGTCTCAATATTTCCTTCTGCTCTTGTAGATTCCTCATCCGCTAGGTGAGCCAGTCGTGCTCGACTCTCTCTACAGTTTCTTGCAACTCAGCTCCCAATTGTATCACTACATTGAGTTATTTAGAAATTTATTTGATATGTAACTATTGTTCTTAATCAAATAGGCCAAAATATTTACTAGATTACAGGAACATTCTTTTAACAACTCAGAGGGAATTGTCTTGTTTCCTACGCACTTCTTGGGTTTACTAACTGGGACGTTGTTGAAGCGTCTCGTTCTTCTGCTGTCAGTATTCTTTACGTGTCTTGTGAGGCCACTATAAACACTTTCAAAACAATTCAAGCAATTTCCATCACACACCTCAAGTAATTTCCTTTGGGAAGAATGAAAGGAGCAGACCGAAGTAACAAAATTTCAGCTCTTCGTTCTAAGCAGACTCAAGGGCAAATAAATATTTTTAATAATTACTACTTTGTACCATAGCACCATGTAACCGAACTGATCACATTCATTTAAATACACCAAAAAGAAACTTACAAGAGGATTTTTCGTTTCCTTGTAGATCACAAGATTTTACTGATTCTACCCATACTTGGACTAGTGGGCAATCAAGGAAAAGTGGTGACATGTTTAGTGACTATAATACAGCATGGAACCACATTTGGATATTCCTAGACAAAATAGCTTGTATGCCTAGTTTACATTTTTATTATTTTAGAAAAAATAAAGATAGAAAACACAGAGAATAGCATGATATAGTATCCTCTGTGAGCCCAGCCCAGAATGGACACATTCCAATGATCTTGTTGCTTCAGATTTCGTTTTATTGTCTTGAACACCAACATTTTTTGGATGATCCTTCTGATCATTACTTCTGTTTATTACGTGTTTATTGATTATGCCATTTACTTTTTAAAAATAATTTAACTTCAGTCTATTAAATTAAAACATAATTGCTTCAGAAAACCTTCAGATAATACCTAATCTGATATAACTATGATTAAGCTAAGTGTAAAATGTCCAATCTCGAATTTGTATCTATTGAATGAGTTAAACAAACCCTCATTGAGTGCCTAATATGTGCCAGAAATTGTGGTAGTTTGGGGATACAAAAGTTGGGGCAAAAGTCCCTGCCCTTTAAATCATCTTATACACCAGGTCTGTCCAAAAGAAATATAATGCTGGGGCCGGCCCGGTGGCGCACTGCTACAGTGAGCTGCTTGAGAGTGCGGTGGCACTCCCGCCGAGGGTTTGGATCCCACATACAGACCGGTTCCTGCTCACTGGCTGAGTGAGGGGTGGGTGCAGCACCGAGGGTTGCGATCCCGTTGCCGGTCCAGGCCCAGTACGGGCGCAACACTGAGGGTTGCGGTCCGTTGCCGGACACGAAAAATGACAAAAAAGGAAAAAAAAAAAAAAGAAATATAATGCCAGCCACATATCCAATATTAAATTTCACAGTAGCCACATTTTAAAAAAATTAATTTTATCATGCATAGTATGTCCAAAATACTATTACTGTAATATGTAATCAATATAAGGACTAATGAACTATTGCACATTTTTTGCACTTATTTTTCAAAATCTGGTGTGCACGTTACGCTTACAGCACATCTCACGTTTCAAGGGCTCTACATCCACACAGGACTGTGGCTACCGTATTGGAAAGTGGAGAGGGTGGGGGTGTGGCTTACAGGTCCTAAGAGAGCAACTGGGAAAGCTGTTTGTTGCACTAGCCCTGAACTCAGTGGTAAGAGACTGGGGGTGGGGGGACAGACAGAGAAGGTGCGTTGGGGGTAAAGAGAGAGAGGAAGCAGATGGAGACAGAATGAACCATCAAATAGACTTGCTTGGGGATACAGGTGACAGAGTGCTTGAAGATAGTCCCAGGCATCAGGCCCAAGTGGCTGGAGGACTCCTGGGAATTTGCCTGCAGGAATGAGACTATTGGATGGGAAGGTCTTTAGCTGCTGTGTGATTCAGCCCATGTCTCATAGGACACTGCAGTCCAGAAAGAAGTGACCCACCATCACATACTTGGAACCTGGCCACAACTCCCTATCTTTTGACTCTCGGAGCAATATTTTTGGGGTTTTTGTTTGAATTTTTTTTTTTTTTTTTTTTTTTTTTTTTTTTTTTTTTTTTTTTTTTTTGTGGCTGGCTGGTACAGGGACCAGACCAATATTTTTGTACACTGCACTGCCTTGAGGCCCAACTCAATTTAAGCTCTACTGCAAGTTTTTGAAGCTATCAGTCATAAAATATACAAAGTGACACAATAGAGATAGACAGAAAACCACTAGCCAACCAGAAAGAATGGGTGCAGGAATAAAGGCACATTAGAGAGAACAGTAGAGCCAAGAATTATCAGACGCAAAGAAACAGGGAGGGATACTTTGTATTGGATTTATTTCTGATCTAATATCCTTTATTTCAACTTTTAGAAACAGAGTGGAGGAGATACAGAAACAAGAAACAAAAATATTCAAATAGATATTAGCAAATAGAGGGGGATACGTTGTTTGGCATTGATTTTTTCGTGTGTACTTTATTTCGTTTCACATGTCTAGTTTATATTTATCACGTGCCACATTAGACCAACATACCATAAACCTAAAACAAAAATGTTATTAGCTCTAGTATAAGGCAGAACAATATGAATAATATATATGGACAAAATATTTGGGGTGGTTTACAATAAAAGGCACAAGTACAATAGAATTTTAGATTGCTTAGCCACCCAATTTCATACTGGACTACATGGGGGTAGGGGTGTGTATTAGTCAGGGTTCTCCAGAGAGACCGAATCAATAGGATATGTTATGTGAGAGGGAATATTAGGGAATTAGTTCACGCAATTGTGAAGAAAAGTCCCACAATAGGCCATCTGCAAACTGGATGCCGGTAGCATGGCTCAGTCCAAGCCTCAAAACCAGGGAAGCTGATGGTGTGCTTGGTGCAAGTCCTGGAACCCAAACGCTGAAGAGCTCGAGCTCTGGTGTCCACAGACAGGAGAGAGGAGTGTACCCCAACTCCAGCGGATCGAGAGAGCTTCACCTTTTCCTCTGTCCTTTGTTCTCTCTGGGCCCCCAGCAGATTGGATGCTTCCTGCCCACACT